GGCTGCGCTCCAGACCCGGCCGCACCTGGCTGATGCGTGGGGGGTCGGCGGGCCCCACACTGCTCCTGGGATCCCGGGTACGTGTTGCCTTATGTCATTTGACTTCAAGGGAAATCTTTCTTAATTCGCAGCCTGAATTCGCAGGGCGGGGAAAAGTCTGCCCCACCGAGGGAGGTTTGAGAAAGAGACATCCAGCCGGGTTGTCATGGGAGAAGGGGGCCCTCCTGCTCCCCCAAGGCCAGGGCCACCTTCTAGTGATAGAATTGGGGACAGCGGAAGAGCCCCCGGCCTGTGCTTTCTCTTTTCACGGTTTCTTTCCTCACTCTCTCCCTCCTTTCCTCTGCTCCCACCCCATGCGTTTGCCATCAGCGTGGGGGCAGCTGAGCCAGTGCTGAACTGAGGAAGCAGGCTGCCAGGGAGCCGGCCCACGCCCCACCGCACAGACCACACCCCGATTTCAGCATCTGGTGCAAAAAAGGGCAACGTCTGGCTCCAGCCTATGGGTGCTCCTCAGCTCCCTGTGGTGCTGAAATGCAAGGCTTGCTCCTGAAAGCCTGAGGAGGGGCCACCCCTCCCCCAGCTGGGAGCCATACAACATGTTTTCAGGTCCCCGGCCGGGAACATGTGGCCTCATAAGCATGCACAAACACATAGTCACACACATTTAACTGCACAGGTCCCACAAGCCCACACAGACATCACTGTGGTACACACAGACACACACAGCCATTCGACACCCACAGTGCACTCATAGCACCCCAACAGGACACACACAGGCACGAAGGTGCACACCCAGTCAGTGCAAAGCGGTACCACAGTCACCCCCATTCACACAGGCTCACAGCCACACAGGCATCCCGTCACTCCCAGGGTACAGGGCCCCTCAGGAGCTGCTTCCCCTCGTTCCAGCCCACCAGCTGCCCTTCCAGGGACACAGGTGTCCTGAGACTTGGCCAGAGACCTGAGTAACTTTCTGTACCTGTTCGATATGTCATGATTTCTCAAATCCAAACACGTGACCTATTCTGTGCCGCAGGGAAGGGGCATTTCATAACGTTCATCCCTTTCATCTGCAGTGCCCACTGCTGTGTAACCCACATGACCCCACATGATCCCATGCCCTGTGAGCTAGGCAGGTCACATCTAATCATCACCACAGAGAGAAACTGAGGCTTACTGAGGGTAAGACATTTACCTGAAGTGACCCAGCCAGGATGTGGGATTAGGACGTGGAGGCCAGGGCTCTGTCACCACCTCCTGTTGGCTGAAGAGGACTCGGGGGGAAGGGTCACAGAGTTGGGGAGAACTCCTTTGGGTCCCACTAGACTCAAATCCTCAGGTCTCCTAAATTCCAGGGCTTATCTGCTTAGTCCATGAGGCCTGCAATCCTGGACGATGGAGAACAGGCAGGCCTGGCCTCTGCCTCCCTCCTACCCTCCCTGCTGGGGAGGAAAGGTGGGGTGGTGCTGAAGCCACAGGTCACTTGAGAGGACCCATCAGGATGGCCAGGAGTCAAGGAACAGAGAGGGGGTCTTCGCTGGGAAGACAGTGTACAGCCCCCGGTCTTCTAGATCACTGGCTGGAGCACAAGCCTCCCCACCCTTGGGCCTCTATTATCTCCATGCTACCTGAAGGCCAGGGCCAGCACCTGCGAGATTACCAAAGGCAAGGATGCCAGTCTCTCATTTCCTCCTCCCACCACCCTCTGAAGAAGGCACAAATTGCTGCATTTTCCAGATCAGAAATAGTAAAGGGCCTCCGGATATGTCACAACTGGCTGCCTCTGAGCAGTGGGAATAAAGGGAGACCATCAAGATAAGGTCCAAGGTGCTTAAGCATAAATTATGAGGCCCTTCTGTGACCTGGCTTCATCTGGCAATCCTCTGCTCCCTGGTGCTCTCCTTGGGGTTCAGGCCACACAGACCTTCACTAGTCCCTGAATGTGCCCTCTCTGGCTGTGGTTCAGGGCCTTTGCACATGCTCTTCCCTCTGCTTTGAAGGTCCCTCACACCTTTCCCCATCTGGCGACCTGCTGTTCATCCTCGAAGATGTACTCCATGTATCATTTCCTCCAGGAATCCCTCTCACTCCAAGTCGGTGCCCACCTTGGGGGTTCCTGCAGCGCTTAGGGCTTTTCCCCCCATTAGAGCCCTCATTGCCTCTTTCTGTGTCTGTCCTTCCCTCTGCACTGTGAGTTCCTGAAGAACAGGGGCCATGACTGATTTAGCTCTACACTATCTGCGTAACTCCTGGTTTCTGACAGGGGTGCAGTCAGTCAGCACCGAATGAATGAATAAATGAATGAATGAATGAATGAATTTTCTTTGCTCACTGACTCAATTAGTAAGAATTGACAGTTACCAGATCATCCTCGCCTTTCAAAGGAAGAAGCACATTCTCCCAAGTAAAGATTCATTCAACAAATATTTATTCACTCATATATCAACCACGTGCCAAATATTTCCATGCACTACAGCTCATTTATTCCTGATGATGGCCTGAGTGGTAGGTATTATCTAGATAAACAGACACCTGCAATGTACGATGCAGCACACCTCACCTATGAGATGCTCGCAAAGAAAGCGCCTAAGGAGGAATACACGTTGAGTGTGAAGGACAGAGAGAAAAAGACAGCAGACCCACTCCCTGCATCTTGGGGACTGTAACAGGGGCAGAGAACTGCATGGGAGGACAGGGAGCCTCCCATCAGTCACCTGGCTTCAGGGGCCATTTGTCCTGCTCTCCCCAACGTGGTGTACATACTAAAGTAATCAATCCAGCCCCACCCAGCCTGGGCTCTGATGGCTGTGGCTACTTCTAATCTGGCAGGTGAGCTACCTTATGCACTGCCCCCAGCTCTGACCCCTCCCTCATCCACTCTGTTATAGACTGAATGTTTGTGCCCCCCTTCCCAAGTCATATGTTTGAAGCCCTAACCCCCAAGTATGGTTCTATTTGGAGATGGGGCCTCTAAAAAAGTAATGAAGATTAAAAGAGGTTATAAGGGTAGGGCCCTGATCCCATGGGATTACTGTCCTTAATGTTCCTATAAGAATAGATATCAAAGAAGCACCCCTGACCCCCCCACACATGACCAAGGAAGGCCTTGTAAGCACACAGGAAGAGGAGAGGGTAGTCATCTGCCACCCAAGAGCAGAGCTCTCGCCAGGTACCAACCCAGCTGGCTCCTTGATCTTAGACTCCCAGTATCCAGGCCGTGAGAAAATAAGTTTCTGTTGCTGGAGTCACCGAGTCTGTGGCAATGTTACAGCACCGGAGCAGACTAACATATACCCCCAGCACCCATCTGTGCCCGCGGAAGACTCTGGAGGCAAGGCCTGCCCTTCCCTCTGCTGTTAGCACCATATAGGATGCCCTAGGGTGCCCCAGGGAGGCTGTCCGGGGAGGAAGGGGGAGAGAAT